TTTCGACGCCTAACCTCCCATCCGTCCAACCCATGGGTATAGGAGCTAGTAGCCCTGCCGTCCCAGGAATCTTCAATAGCGATGCCAATTTCGACGCCTAACCTCCCATCCGTCCAACCCATGGGTATAGAATGATCATAACGAGCGCTGCCACACGAATGAAACCAGCGATGAAACCTTCCATCCGACCAATAAGCCTTCCGTCCGAGATTCAGGACTTCCATCCGCCGCGGAGCGTGGGGAGTGTTTTGGCCCGTGCTTTGATATAATTTTTGCAGATATATTATGGAGCCAGTAGGCCTTCCATCCCAGGAATCTTCAATAGCGATGCCAATTTCGACGCCTAACCTCCCATCTGTCCAACCCATGCGTATAGGGTATAGGAGCCAGTCGCCCTTTCATCCCAGGAATCTTCAATAGCGATGTCAATTTCGACGCCTAACCTCCCATCCGTCCAACCCATGGGTATAGGAGCTAGTAGCCCTGCCGTCCCAGGAATCTTCAATAGCGATGCCAATTTCGACGCCTAACCTCCCATCCGTCCAACCCATGGGTATAGAATGATCATAACGAGCGCTGCCACACGGATGAAACCAGCGATGAAACCTTCCATCCGACCAATAAGCCTTCCGTCCGAGATTCAGGACTTCCATCCGCCGCGGAGCGTGGGGAGTGTTTTGGCCCGTGCTTTGATATAATTTTTGCAGATATATTATGGAGCCAGTAGGCCTTCCATCCCAGGAATCTTCAATAGCGATGCCAATTTCGACGCCTAACCTCCCATCTGTCCAACCCATGGGTATAGGCCTTCCATCCCAGGAATCTTCAATAGCGATGTCAATTTCGACGCCTAACCTCCCATCCGTCCAACCCATGGGTATAGGAGCTAGTATCCCTTCCAACCCAGGAAACTTCAATAGCAATGCTCATTTCCACACCTAACCACCCATCCGTCCAACCCAGGGGTATGGAATGATCATAACGAGCGCTGCCACACGGATGAGACCAGCGATGAAACCTTCCATCCGACCAATAAGCCTTCCGTCCGAGATTCAGGACTTCCATCCGCCGCGGAGCGTGGGGAGTGTTTTGGCCCGTGCTTTGATATAATTTTTGCAGATATTTTATGGAGCCAGTAGGCCTTCCATCCCAGGAATCTTCAATAGCGATGCCAATTTCGACGCCTAACCTCCCATCTGTCCAACCCATGGGTATAGGCCTTCCATCCCAGGAATCTTCAATAGCGATGTCAATTTCGACGCCTAACCTCCCATCCGTCCAACCCATGGGTATAGGAGCTAGTAGCCCTTCCATCCCAGGAATCTTCAATAGCGATGCCAATTTCGACGCCTAACCTCCCATCCGTCCAACCCATGGGTATAGAATGATCATAACGAGCGCTGCCACACGGATGAAACCAGCGATGAAACCTTCCATCCGACCAATAAGCCTTCCGTCCGAGATTCAGGACTTCCATCCGCCGCGGAGCGTGGGGAGTGTTTTGGCCCGTGCTTTGATATAATTTTTGCAGATATTTTATGGAGCCAGTAGGCCTTCCATCCCAGGAATCTTCAATAGCGATTTCAATTTCGACGCCTAACCTCCCATCCGTCCAACCCATGGGTATAGGAGCTAGTAGCCGTTCCATCCCAGGAATCTTCAATAGCGATGCCAATTTCGATCCGTCCAACCCATGGGTATAGGAGGTAGTAGACCTTCCATCCCAGGAATCTTCAATAGCGATGCCAATTTCGACGCCTAACCTCCCATCCGTCCAACCCATGGGTATAGGACTTCCATCCGCCGCGGAGCGTGGGGAGTGTTTTGGCCCGTGCTTTGATATAATTTTTGCAGATATTTTATGGAGCCAGTAGGCCTTCCATCCCAGGAATCTTCAATAGCGATGTCAATTTCGACGCCTAACCTCCCATCCGTCCAACCCATGGGTATAGGGATAGTCGTAAGAGGGCCGGTGCGTTGGAGGAGGGGCAACAGGAGTACGGAAGGGGAGCGGTGTGGTTCCAGAGAACGTGCGGATGAGATTGTCTCATACAGTATGTGGTCATTCAGGGGGGGGGAAGGAGTGGAACGGACAGAGTAAGTGAGATCAGTAGTGAACCAATAGACGCGCGTTACGAGGAGCGCCAGCCAGTAGATGCGCGTCGGGATTCAGGGGCGTGAATAGGGGAACCGCGAATGATATCGTGACGGCGACGAACGGGATCAATGACGCGACATGACAGCGAGGATGACGTCCATCCGGCCAACGGTTGCGGTCGGATGCATGTCGGCAATTTTCGACGTCCATCCGGTATGATAAAATAATCAAATTTGGCCCTGTGCGCATTGAAATTTTTCCAGATTTTTTTCTAGCCAATGTGCACTCCGTCAGACCGAAGTAAATTTGCGCTTAATTTCAGCCCACCTGAACGCGCGTCTGTTCGGACATGGGTATAGAGTCCATCCCCTGCTGGGGTCTTCCCTCCCCTGACCTTGACAAGAAGAATGGGAACGTCTTCCTCTCGGACGCCCCCTTGAGCCTCCTCTTCCTCTTCCGCGTCTTGCGGCTGACCCACGACCGCCCCCACGTCGTTGATTGAAATCCGCACTACGGCCTCTCCCGCGACCGCCAGCGCCATTTTCAAATGCCCCACCTGCAGTTGCTGTGCATTGCGTATCGTTTGCGCTAGCTCCTGTCAATGTGCCGGTGATCTGAGAAGCCGTTGTGGGCACAAGAACAGCGTCAGGAACTTTGGAAGCCATCTCCATTAACCCAAGTGCTGGGAGAGACACAGGTTTGGATTGCCACCACCGATTTGAGAGCTTGAAAATCAGGGTACTTCCACTCAGCGAGCTCAGTGTAGTGACCGAGTCATTTCAATCCATATGGATGCGATTGGTTCTTTATGGACGTTCTAAAATACTCCTACAAACGGGTCTCTTGATCAGTATACTGATCATGGGGCCGAAACCACAAAATTGCCAAAAATGCCTCTTGACCAGTATACTGGTCATGGCAGGTATTAGGGATATGCACTCTGCATGCTGATTTCCGTTCACCGCCAGCCGGTTCTGTAGACCTAATTTTGAGTAAGTTTTTGTCACATGCTATTTAATTTATTCAGAATTTAGGATCGAACTGAGCGCGCCGTCGAGCACTCGACGGCCACGCTCGTCGTCCCCACAGAAATGGCAAGTGAGGGTCTCCTTTAAGACAGCCTGGACAGCCATGGGTGCATGTATATTTTCGCAATTTTCAAGATATTACATGCCCAATAATGTAATGTATTGTGTCAGCGTGTAACGGTTGAAGGACAAGCACAGTATGTATGTCTTTGTAGTTTTACTTTTTATAAACATACTGCGCGTGTCTTTCCCGAATGGACTGGCTCCTCCATTCTTTAAAAGGATGGCATAGAACTACAACATAATTTCTATGCCATACCTAAAAGAATTGTCAAAGGAGGAGTACAGTATCCACTAGTACTAAAGAGGATGGTCGGGGAGATTGAAGGCAAGGACATAAGCGATTGTATGGAGATTAGTTGTAGAGTGAAAGGATAGTTTATTATAGTCTAGCAGGTACTGTATTGTTCTAAGTTTCAGCTACGATTTCTATAAAAGGCGCGGCGTTCGGACGGGGAAAGCAAAAGGGGTCAGGCACAATCACTCACTAACCCTGAGAGCCACCCAACCTGCAACCCCAAGTGTGTCCAACTTAAGAACCGCTTTGCAAAACCATTCAACACAAGTAAGTCACTCTGTTCATTTTAATAACCCTGCGCGCCGCTAAAAGTGGTAGCATCGCCAAATCGATCTAACCCTATTTTTTACCAAACATTTTCCAGTGTGCGAAATCAACACCAACAGCGCAGATTCCACACGTGGCACAGGCACCACCAATAGCGAGCCGGAGCCAATTATCGTCGAAAAACAAGGCGAAATTCAAGCTCAGAGCCAATCTACCTCGGCTAACAAGATTGCAACACCGCTGCCGGCTGAAAAAGAGTTAATTTTTAATATTGCTCTGGAAAGGGGTGGGCTCGACCGTGGGGCTACCTTCGAGCTACCGCCGGCTAACGCAGGACCGAGTGGAGAGAAGTGCTCCACTTGTCAACTTAACAAGCCGTACAACCAATCGTGGCCGGAGCACAACCGGTCTGAGTCCCATATAAGGCACCTCATTTTAAGCCGTGGATTCGGCCCTGCTGTGGAAAACCTTAACCGCAAGCACTCTAATATCCTTACAATAAGGTGCGATTTATGTCATACGAACTACAGGAACGCCTTATTGTTTAACGCGCATAAGGTTGAAGACGAGCACCGCCGCCGTGTCAAGGAACTACATCGACTAGTACACATGGCATCGAGCAAGGGCGTGATTGGACGTTAGACAAAGGTTACTAAACCGAGGAAAACGAACCCCGGTGTACTATCGAAGACCTTGGGGCACTTCAAGAAATACTCCAAACGTTCAATTTAGAGGTATTGACTACAGTAGAAATTTTGCATTAAAAAATTGCCTTGTTTGAAAATTTCAAAATTGTCTACTGTACACTATGGAGCCAGATTCAATAATCCAAATGCAAAATGAGATCAGCTCTCTCCGCCAGCAAGTAGCTCAAGCTAATCAGTCATTACAGGAGCAAATAGCTCAGACAAATCAAGCTGTTGCTATCGCCACCCAATCTATTTCTAACGTAAATACCACGAATAGCAATAGCAATAGCCTTCTGTTAAAAACTGACAAACCTGAAAAATTCAACGGTGAAAATGCCCGAAGCTGGTTGAAAAGTATAGCAAATATTTTTGCAGCGCACAGCAATACAATCGATGACAATACGAAAATCAACTATGCCGTAAGCTATATGACGGGTGCGGGACTACAATGGTGGGAGTTAGCAATCCTAAATGACAATGCTATAACATCATATGATGAGTTTCAAAAAGAACTATTAAACTATTTTGAACCTGTGAACAGAGAGTAGACCGCAAGAAAAATGTTGAGTGATCTAAAACAAATGGGCAAGTTAACCTTAGTCCGGGAATATAATAGAGAGTTCTCAAGATGGCTCTTGCAGATCCCAAGTATGACATCTGCGGAACAGATATTCCACTACAGCCAGGGACTTAAGACCCGCACAAGAATCGAGGTCGAGCGGGCGGAACCACAATCATTACAAGACGCTATGAAAATTGCGGACAGACTTGATAGTCTCTTCAATAGTGGTCAAAACTACTTTGGATTCGCAAGATCAACGCCTAATTTCTCCTCTGCGCCTACACCAATGCAAATTGGGAACATGCAACCGCGCAGAGGTACGAAACTGTCCCCAGCAGAAAAATCGCGAAGAATGGAGCATAGGTTATGCTTCGTCTGTGGTAAACAAAACTGCATATCCAGAAACCACTACAACAATCAGAGGCCTAGACCTAACTCGTTCACCCAAAAGAAAAACTAGTTGTTCCGTTAAATGAAGTCGGCACATTGGCGGATAAATGTACTATAGCCGAAGACAAAACTACAAAAACACAAAAAAATGATAAAAAACAAAAAGACAAAAAGAAGCAGTATTCAAGAGAGAACAACGGTAAAGAGTCCGTCAAAGTATGTACATTCTCACCATACAAGAAGAGAACAAATACAAAGAGGCAAGCTCTACTATTATTCAACGGGGAGGTGCAAGATGCAACCGACAATTCCCGTTGCACTATTCTGGTAGACAGTGGGTGCGAAGAAATAGTAATATCAAAGGCATATGCAGAGAAATTGAAGTTGAGAAAGGGGAATACTAACCTGAGTGCAGAACTATGGGAACGAACACTTGTTCCTATGGAACGGTGTTGCGAGAACCTTATCATACGGATTGGGGAAGCTACCATTACCGTACGGCCATACGTGGTGGACTGGATTGCTTACGACTTAATCCTAGGCAAAGCGTGGTTATCCGAAGCCAACCCTTTAATCGATTGGAAAATGAACCGTATGCTCCTTAAGCAGGAAGAAAGGTTAATAACTCTGGACGCAGAGGCTCATAAGCATGAGGAAGCCCGCCTGACATACATGCTTACGAGTAAACAGTTCGTGAGGTTAGCGAGAAAGCAGAATAGCACCATATATCATGTCGTATTGAAACCTTCTCAAGAGGAAGGAGAAAATACTATAGAGACTAGTGAAAAGGACGATTACATGAAACAGTTAGACGGACTCCTGGGAGAATACAGATGCGTATTCCCGCAGGATCTGCCTAAAGGATTGCCTCCGAAAAGATCCGTTGAAATGAGAATAGACTTAGAAATGGATGCAAGACCCAAAACGGGTCCCATCTATAAACTTTCAAGAAAAGAGCTGGAAGAAATGAAGAACCAGCTAGAAGAAGCCCTTGAAAATGGATTCATACGCCCAAGTATAAGTCGTTGGGGTAGCCCTGTCCTGTTCACTCCAAAGAAAGACGGTGGCCTAAGAATGTGCATCGATTATCGAGCACTCAACAAACAGACTATTAAGAACCAAGTACCCTTACCGAAAATCGATGAAGTATGGGATCAAGTAGGAGGATCGAAATACTTCTCCACCATTGATCTAAGATCGGGGTATCATCAAATAAGGTTGAGGGATGCTGATATTCAAAAGACAGCATTCCGAACTAGATATGGTCAATACGAATACCTAGTAACGCCCTTTGGATTAACAGGGGCTCCAGGATGCTTCCAGACACTCATGAACAATATCTTCAGACCACACTTACATAAGTTTGTCCTTGTCTACTTACACGACATCCTTATCTACAGTAAAACGAAAGAGGATCATCTGAACCATCTTAGGACAATACTGCAAATATTGAAGGAGCATCAACTATACGGGAAGCTTTCAAAGTGTAAATTCCTTTGTCATAATCTTGAGTACCTTGGCCACATAATAAGTGAGAATGGTATTCAAGTGTGTAGTATAACCCCCCCCCTGGGGCTTTATTTTAGATTAGATCAACTCAGAATCGGATCGGTTACTGTAGAGCTCGATTCTCTACAGTACCACCACGTGTAACCCCGAGTACAGGGGGCGCACGTGTACACGTGTACGCGCGGGACCGAAGAGCGCGCACACACACGTGTACTGTCAGCCCCGATGGCTGACAGTATTACAGTGTCGACCGACCGCTACAGTACGTCGCTACAGTACATCGGTACTGTACTATTATGATAGGTTATTATGTACATTAAATATGGAGCGGACCGGCGGCGGTGGAGGAGGACAAGCACGGACTTGTCACCCACCGACCGTCAAGGTCCGACTTCCCGCTTATTCTAAGGTAGCGCTCGCTAACCACCTTAGAGCGGCACCGAGCGCGGGTTGAGGACGCGCGCGGTACGCCCACGAGCCGGCTCCGCCTCCGCCCGTCGGTACTGGATCGTTACCCAGTACCGCGCCGGGGCGTCGAGGCGTCGAACCGCTCGCGCGTACCGGCGTCCTCTCCGTTCCCGCTCTACCACGCTACCCGGGCCCGGTGCCGTTAGCTGGTGTCCTGCTTCACCCCCGTCTTCCCGATCGGACGGGGTCTCGGTCGAACTGTGCATACACCCCTATCGCTGGGGGTGTTTATGCTACAGTGGTCTCCCGACCTAGAAGACCCTGGAGTCCGATCTCCGAGAAGACTTCCGCTTCCCTCCGCGAACCGATCGCGTCGAGATGAGCCAAGAGTTTGAGCCCTCGATCCGCTCCGAAGCGGCGGATCTGAGTCCGGCCGCTGTGCAGTCCCCATCCGCCACGTCGGGCGACGGCGACGCAGGTCCTCGTGACCGCGAACCGTCGCTCGGTTCCTCCGAGGAAAGAGCGGCGGCGATGTTCGAACGCAAAGCCGAATACATCGAGGAAGTCCGTACTTCCCTTCGGATCGATGTATCGGACCATGTATACACTCGATGCATGGCCGAACTCCGCTCCCTGCGTGAAGGGAGGTTCGATAGAGTGACGCAGTCCTTAGAGAATCTCCGAGCACTGATCGACGAGTTACACTCGCGGATAGTGCTCGTCGAAGACTCCCGTTTCGCCTCGCCCGGACCGTCCGGACAAGGTCGTCCTGAGAGGCCGACCTCGGTGAGACGACCCGAGGACCGAACCTCTCCGTCCGCAGAGCAATTGGGTGCGTTCGCGCACCTCTCCGCTGAGCTCGACGCCACTCGTCGGCGTGCTCGCGACATGGAACGTACCATGGCCGAAAGGCTACCCGGTGCCCCCTCGAGAGGGCCCGGTGGTACCGTACCTCCGAGCGCCGCCGCCCCCGAAGGTTGGCGTCCGACTGGTGCCGCTACCAGTCGGACTGCAGAAGGAAGCCGTCCTCCTATAGACGCGAACTTCGCGTCTGAGACCCAAGCCTTGCCGCCTATCGCCGGAAGTAGGCGGCAAGTGGACCGCGTATCGTACGCGGACGAAAAGGACCGTGGAGGAGCCGCCCGCGGGTCCGGACAACCGATGTTCTCCGTCGATCCCCGCTGGGGCGGCTACCCGCCGGCGAGTTACGCCGAGCATCCAGGTCCGGTAGACGTCCGTACGCTACAGGTTACCTCCTTCGGCACGCTGGGTCCCGCTGAACCCGAGCTCGAGCCGGTACATACGATGATCCAAGAGTTCAGCGCCGTTGCTGACTATCGTATGTACCGCTTGGATAACACCTCGAGGCTCGTTACCTCGGGTGACGCGGGACGGATCCCGAAGTACGTCCAACGCTGTCGTGGGATCCCTCCCACGATGCGCAGCTTCGACGGCACCGACCCGATCCAGCTGCTGCCGTTCTTGAAGGATATCCGAATCACCTTCAACGCGCAACACCTGACCGAAGGTGTTGCGGTACGAGTCCTCGCGCACTTCCTCGAGCGCGACGCGGAGCGCCTGTATACGAGTTATACCATGCGTGGCCTCCGCGCCGGCCAGCTCCACGACGACGTCAGCTGGCCGGGGCTCGTGAATCAACTCTTAAAACGCTACCTCACGGACGACGTGTTAGGTGAAGCGTACGACGCTGTCGCTACGGCGCGACAGCAATCGCATGAGACGGAAAGCACGTTTGCTGACCGACTCGAGACTGCCGCGTTCCGATGCACGGCAGTCTTCTCCGAACAGTCCCTCGCGCACTACTTCGTGCGGGGACTTGCACCGGCAACCCGTGCCGCAGTATCCGAAACTGTGCAAAGGCTGCCAGGCAGTCAGAAGACCGATCTTCCGACCATCCGCCGTATCGCCACGGCGGAAGGTACAACGTACCGCGCTCGGCGCGGTTTACCTCTGCCGGATTCGAAACCGGCAGGGAAGGCTGGCAGGACTACGAAGTCCGCCGCGACAAGTTCGCCCGCCTCGACCCTCCATATCGGGGAGGATGAGTGGCAGGCCGACCCTGTCCTCATTACGCAAGGAGCAGGGCCCGTGGGGGCACGAACCCCCTCACCGATGTCGACCGGAACGACATCGAGTTACGCGACCGCCTTCACGGCCACTCCAAGAGTGGCAACGGGTACGGACCCCCGGGTCGCAGAGCTCGACATATCGAGCCGAGATGCAGGAGGCGAAGCGCCTCGCGTGCCCCTCCTCACCGATGAGGAGTGTAGCATAAACACCCCCAAACGGCGGGGGTGTATGCACGCAGTTCAGTAGCAGACTCCGGATCGGCGGAAGACGGAACACACGCAAAGGGAACGGACACGGGTCCTGGTAGCGTGGTAGAGCGGGAAGGGTGGCAGGCGCGAGTGATTGCGCAGCGGAGCGGATCGACGCCTCAACGCCCCGGAGCGACACTGGGTAGCGGACCAGTGTCGACGGGCGGAGGCGGATCGCTGCACGCGCGCGCACTGTAGCGCCTGCACCCCGCGTCGGTTCCCTTACCTAAACGAGACGCGAGAGCGGACTCGTGTTTTAGGTTAAGCGGTGGGTTGTCGACCAAGGCGGAAGGTCGTGGACAAGCCCGTGCTTGTCCCTTTCCTCCGCCGTCGGTCGCTCCCTTATTTAATGTACAAGTGTTCGGTTATCATACCAGACTACAGTATCATGCTACCGTAGCCGGCGCGAGTCGTCGCGCGCGGTGGCTCTGTCAGCTATCGAGCTGACAGTACACGTGTGTGCCACGTGTGTGTGCGCACGCCCTGCACACGTGTGGTACACGTGTGGGCACGTGGAGGCTCGTGTGGGCTGTAAGGTTCGTGCCTTACAGCCCCTGATCTAAACCTAATCGAATCGACGGCGCATATACCACAAGAAGGCGCGGCACGCGGCGACCTTCGCCTCAACGGACGGCAGCGCGTACGTGTGCTGGCTATGCCGTACGTACGGGCATGCTATGTACGCGTGCCCGTTCCTGTCGCCGGAACAGCGAATGTTCACGGCGTACAGGAACTACCGCTACCAGATGGAGACGCGCCCCGGTGCGCGTAATCTCCTCCGGCAAGCGGAGGGCGAGGGCCGTCCTCCGCGTCAAGGTTTCCCGAATCGAACGGGTGGGGGCGCACGCTTCGCCCCCCGTGGAGGCGGGTACCGTCGTAACGAAGTCGATCGTCGGGATCGACCCGCCTATCGCCAGGCGGACACAAGGTACCCCCGACAAGGAGAAAGAGGGGACCGAGACCGTTCTCGGTTACCCCAACAGGTACAAAATGCGATAATGTACCTGCAAGACTGGGTAGAGGATCCGTACCCTCCAGCCACGGAGGGTCACGAAGGAGAGCCGACTCGCTTCGTCCCCCATATCCTGCGACGACCGGACGCCGCACGTCAAGGCCCGGAAGTACCGGAGTACTTCGCCAAGGCCGCCGAGCCGCAGTGGGGGAATCGTCCCGACCCACGCGACCGGCTACCGGAAGAGGACCTGGCCGTCGATAGCCAGGAGGTTAGCTCCGATAGCACGGGTAGTTCGAAAAAAGGGTAAAGACGGTTACGTACACGCGGTCGCGTGAGCCGTCTTTTCCCCACGAACTAGACCCGACCCCGCGTGCTCGCCAAGGACACGGGGGGTATTGTCCAATAATACATCCCCCGCTTCCGGAGGCGGGCACGGGAGCTCCTGTAATGCCAATACAGGAGGGAGCGCACGTCGAGGCCTCCGAAGGCCCGACGTTAGGAGAACAAGACACCGGGACAGCCGACGTCCCGGTGAGGCGTAACGATGGCGACGGGGGCAACGACGACCGAAACGATTCGGTCAACCCCCTGACTCCCGCGAGCCCAAGGTCGCCGGAGAAAGGTCCGTGTCGTACGGACTCGAGTAATCCGAGGGGCGTCACTGATCCGCGGACGCCCCAAGGAAGGGGGAGAAGGAAACGCAAGCGGGGCCAGCACCGAAATCGAGGGCCCCGGCGGAACGACCTCACCGATAAGGTCGCCCCGAAGGTTGTCAACGGCGTCATTTGCCTCCTGACGTCGAAGATCTACAACGTCCTCGGCTCGATAGACACAGAGGGAAATGCATTTAAACCCCGCACGATCGCTGTTGATACGTGCTCGGGGTATAATCTGGTGAGGAAGGCCGACCTTCCCCCCGATTGGACGCGTTACGTCGTGCACGACGCACCTCTGCCACGATTGGCAGGCGCGAATAGCAACCCCCTCAAGCTTTCGGCCGTCGTCCGCCTGGCGGTGCGGTTGAGGAACACGGTGTTCCGAATTCCGTTCGTAGTCGCGGACCAGCTCGCCGTGCCGGTCCTTCTCGGCACGGCCTTCATCGATACGCACGTGCGATGTATCGACATCGAAGCTCAACGAATGGAGCTACGCCAAGGCGGTTCCGTCGCCATCGTTGACGGAAAGGGGGAGTCGACTCCCCCTACCAGGCGACACGGGCGACGCACGGGTCGGCCAGACGTACGCGAGGAGGCCCCGCAAGCGATCCGAATCGCCCGCTGGGTTACCATCCCCGCGATGTCACAAGCCCGCGTGCGTGTGACAACCGCGGGGAGGGGCCTCGTGTTCCTGGAACCCAAGCCCTCACTCCAACACCGACATGGAGTGAGGCTGACGAATGGCGTCGCGGAGGTCCTACCGAATCAGACCTTCGACGTCATCGT